GTCTGAACGCTCACTCACTGCTAGCTATGTAGCTAACTGTTAGGCTACTTGGCTTGCATTGTTATGGATCTAAAGGAAGCAAAAGCTAACTTTCATAGCACAGCTTTACTTCTCACTTAACACAATAAAGAAACAGACCATATAGTACAGCAAAAACAACACAAATGATCAATACTTACATATATTTTCACTTGTATTTTATAATAATTGAAATGCTGGTTCTTCTACTGCGGGTGTTCTATCCATAATCCACGCTCAGCTACCGCACCGCAGCTGCCTGCACTGTACAATCGCTGGAGGACTGGGCTGTAACTCAAAAACTGAGTAGCCAATGGGGACGCACCCCTGAAAGTCCCGCCCACCTGGGAGGTTTGTGTCAGAATCTCAAACAAAAAGTGAAGGAGCGCAAATGAGAGTGCTGCAGCGAGAGCAAAAGTCTGATCATTGAGAAAGAAGAAACAAGAACTGCAAACAAAAACCTATGTTAAAACAAAGAAAAAATACTTATAGTTTACATGATTACACAAATGATTTGTTTGCAACTTATAGTTTTATTTTTGAAATTTTTCTTTTAAACTCATGGTTTGGCTTTATTCTGAGAAAGTGTTGCTTTATCTTTATGATACAAAACTAGTCCCATAGTAGTTCTGACGGAGAGCACCAGAACGTCGCTCTGCCACTTCAGAAATGGCAGTAGCCTACCCATAAGGAGCCTTATACATGCCGCAGTTTTTGCTTGGCTGTGTCTTAGTTGTAAGCCCAGTGCCGATCTGTTCATCTGTCATACTGATCATACAGTCAATAACTTTGTTGTTATTAGCATCTGGTTAGCTAGCTATGCTAACGAATATAAGAAGCTTTTTCTACAACCATAAGGTAAAGGCACATCTTTATGATAATTATAAAAAAATCAGAGAATAAAGTAAACAGGTATAAAATACTATATGACAGTAAAAAAAGAGTTGTTACAGTTTAAAAGGCGAGTGATTTGTAAAATATCCATGAAGAAAAATAAATCTGCTTACAGTTCTGTTCCATATGGGTGTTGAGAGAGGTATCCATGGATCTCCTAATTTTGCTCTCAAAGAGCACCAGATTGATGCTTTTAACTTCAATATTTAAAAAAAAATCTTCCCGGGCGAGCTTAAGGAGGAGGTTAAGTCCCCCACCCCCCCCCACCACTTAAATCATGTCCACATGGATAGGAAACTAAATACATTTGCACACATCTTGTGTCCATACCTTTCTGTTGTGGTGGTCATGCCACAACCGTGCACGTGCATGCATACGCGAGTCATGGTAAGGTATCTGGATTAAGAGGTTGCTTTTTCTTTGCACAGCATGAAAGAAAGGCCAAATGAATGGGCTGTGATTTTAGTTTTTTAAGCAGAGGTCAATCATTTGTACGGCCCTTGGAGGATGTTGAAAAAATTGAAATGGCCCTCGAGAGGAAAAAGGTTCCCCACCCCTGGTGTATATGAACATCCATAAGACATTATAATAACATTAGCCACAAGGCTGTGCTCACCTCCATGATGTAGTTGTCTCTTTCTGCTGTAGACTTATCAGAGTTCAGAACCAGGACGGTCTGAAACACACAAAATGTACAAATATAATATTGCCATATGGTAGACAGATGATACAGTGTGAGAACAAAACATTTTAAAATTGGTGGTGGTCAATGTGTCCGGGAAGATTTCAATGTCTCAGACAAGCGAGAGGAATTGCAGTCAAAGAAGCTCGAAAACATTTGATAGGAAGGCTACATAAAGAATCTCATCATTAAGATATGAAGATGCTGCACTGAAAAGTAGAGTTATTTCAAAGAAAACATACGTATACAAATATATATATATTACGCACGCCTACGACATAAGTTTGTCTTCCTCAGTGTTAGCCCTACAGATACTCAGATCAAATAAAACTGAATAAAAACTATTTGCTAACCAACCAAAATCCATGTATGCCCTACTGGCTCATAATATTGTAAATAAAGGCCTGCTGTGCTGCTGCCAACTTCAAATCAAGCTCTGCTTTAAATATGTTCTTCAGATAAAAAAATCTTTGCCGGTTGGACCCATCCAGGATAAATGTAGCTTAATTCACCTATGAGGACTTTCAAGCCCCCATAACCAGACCACTGTCCTCACAGTGATGGACCTTGTAGCGCTTGTTATAAGAGCTGCTTGTGCTGACTCACCTAATCAGACTATTTTTAATACACTTCAAATTGTGTTTAGGGGAAATTTGTTTTCTCTGGACATCATAACCAGAGGGATTAACATTTGTCAGACTTCAACCAATTTTGCTAATATACAGTACATGTACGCATATGTGTGTGTGCGTGCAACTTACACATATGGACACGACATTGGCCAGAGCCACCGCGTTGCCGAGGATAGTGAGATAGTAGTGACTGAAGATATTCTGGAGTCTCTGCAGGACTGGAGAGTTGTACCCGGGCAAAGGAGGGTGCTGGGAGGAACACACACACACACACACACACACACACACACACACACACACACACACACACACACACACACACACACACACACACACACACACACACACACACACACACAGAGATATAACACAGATATAACACAGAAGTGAATGGTAATGTTGACTAAACAGCAGAGCCTGTGGGCACAGCTTTACCTCCTTAATGCGATCTTTATCCAGTTCATCAAATATCTTCCTGAACTGCTCTCTATCCATGTAGCCAACATCTGCATACTGCTGAACCTCCTGAATCCACATGACATAAAGGAACCAGTCAGGTGAGGATGCATCCTGTCATCTGTATGTCTTGTAACACCCCCATAAACTAGAGCAGTGGTTCCCAACCTTTTTTCCCAAGA